AAAAAAAATAATGAAGATACACGAGTTTTATTTTTTTTCTATCTCTTACTTAGGAATAGTCATACTTAGGGTAGGACGCCATGAAAAAATTTTAATTGAAAAAGGGCGCCGTGACTAGCAAAAGTTTGGTAACCAGTGCCTTAATAGATTACAGTTCCAGTACCTTTCATTTCGTTTAAAGAGGCGAATGGAAAGCTTGAAGCCTGCTACTTTTCTTGATTTCGTGTTTTTTGTGAATCGGGATCGCAGGCCAGTGCGCCGTAAACCTATTGGCAAAAATCTACAATCACACCTCCAAGGCGATCCCCCTACACTGTCTGATGAGACCAACTTACGGATCCGTTCTGTTAGCATCTTCAAACGAAATGAAAGATACACCAACGTAGGCACGATAATTGTTTTTGTATCTGGAAGGGCCATTCCGATACAAACCAATCGGGTCGCCGGCTAGATCCTTTACAACTGCGATGCATGGGCCAACTAGGCTGTTTTATATTCCACGACTTGACCCAACTGTGAGAAATTATTCGGCTGATTCCCACTTCTCCCATCTTTTAGAGTTAAATATAACCCATTATCGAGATCCGACTGCTACAAGACTTTTTGCTCCTCTCGTCGGACTTATGCTGGTGAGACATGCAGGCCCATCAAATAAAAACTAGGAGAACACAAAAATGCTTGTGAAGGAAGCTTGTCCAATGGTCAGAAGTGGCCGAACACATGTTAGAAACTGGACATGAGATATAATGATCTTAAACTAGTAGGTTTGCTCATTATGGTACGTCTGCTCTTAAAAGAAAAGTAGAGAGGCTATTGAAATTAATAGACTAGGAAATACGTTTAATGTGAGGAACGCTGGTAGAAAGTTGATTGATTAATAGATTGTAAGAGAGAGAGAATGTTGACTCACCATCCTATTTGTCCGCTCAGTGATGGTTCTAACTTCACTCACACCCTTCCAACATGATAGATCAAGATCATCGTCAAATCCAGACGTACGAGATTACTCAGTCCCAGTTTTGCCTTTCCTTGGATAGTTAAACCTCGATGACCCTAGACTGAGACGTCAGGACAAGTGGTTTCATAACTTGATTTACACACTTACAAGCTTACATCTCATTATCTCAACCATACATTCTGACGGACTTACGCAGACCGGTCATGGCTTTGTCTTGGGTCATTAAACCTTGATGGCCAGAGCCTGGCACTAGCACTTTTTGGTCACCCTGATTTATAACCGGAATTACGTATAGACGTTGACACATACACGCACACACGCACACAAACACTCGAGCAAAAGTAGCAGGAGCAATATGCAAGATAATTAGCCAAACCATCCTATATTTATTTACGCCGGTTAATTTTCATTATTGATTACAAGAATGAGTTCCAGCTCTGAGGATGTCCATCAAATGATGGACGAAAACTTAGTCAGTTTTCATCCGAAACGAGGAAGGTATCGTGGACTGCCTCAATCTGAACGTCGTAGTAAAGCCAAACGGTTGCGGTACAACGGGATTCAGCCGTCGTCTTCTGGTGAAAGCAACTTTCATACGAAATGAAGGTCTTCCCGACAGTATTACTAGTTTGCCTTCAAATGCCAGCACATTTCATCCATCCCTAATAGCCCTTCTACATTAGGCCTCACACACAAATGCATGCATTCGTCAAAATGATCTTCCACTGATGTCCTCGAGACGGTGACATTTTCAATAATTTACCTTGATGTAAAATGATGATTTATAGGCAGTACGGCTAGACAACTGCAGTCGTCCCTCGACCTCAGAATAAGGCCAGATTGGTATGGCATTTCTTACTATCGATGTCAAGTTTTGCAATTTTACAATTAATTTCCTTGCTCCAACCTAAACGAATCTACCGACAGGGTGCTTAAATCAATTGGTAGCACAAGCAAAACTTCCCCATCTCAACGAATAGGTCTTCCCATATCACAACTTTGCCACATTCCGATTCTTCTCTCAATACACCATGGATCGGTATCCAATATGGTATCCCCTTAAATCTGAGGTCGTTCAGGACTATTGGGACGTTCGGTGTCAGTCAAAATGGACTAAGCCAGATACCGTTAGAGGACGTTCCACATTGAAATAAAAGTTGGTTAGAAGCAATTCGTGATGTGGCCTCCTCGGAGACCGAAGCAGGACTGCCACGTAGGGAAGACCGTTTTATTGTGCGAAGACATTCTCGGCTCACCTTCCTGCGAGACTGATGGACCTGTGATGAGCTTTCGTCTGTACTGTGACAGACCTCATCAGAGCAAGAATCCATACTTTCCTCTTGTTTTAGCTTTTTTAAAAACGATTTCGTAAAGTATGGATTCTTGCTCTGATGATGTATGTCACGGTGGTACAGATGAAAGCCTAACGCAGATTCATCGGGGTCGTTGGACGGTCGGCCGAGGAATAATTTGCACCATCCGACAGTCTTCACTAAGCGACATTCCTTCTTCGGTTTCAGGTGAGACCACATCACGAATTCATTACAACCAATTTAAAAAAAAGGAAAATCAGGCCACAATATATCACTAAATAACTCTTCGAAACCCAGTTTTTCTTCACATCTTTTAAGCCAACTACATTCGAGTATATTTCATTTCGTTTGCAATGGGGAGTGGAAGGTTTCCTGAATTGGCCCCAGCTGAAAATAAAGAAGCATTGCCTTGAGGTAGATACTGCTGGATTGCACAGGCAAATTCTCGGGTTACCATGCTGTTAC